GTGAGTTTCAAAAATAAATAATTTCAAAATAAAAAGTAAAAAATAAAATTAAACACATACACACACACACACAAATGTCATGAAAGCAGACTGACTTGAACAGTTGGGAAAGATGTGTCCCATATTATGGATTTCTGAAGACCTAACATCACCAATATATCAGTTCTTAAGATAATTGATAATTTTAATGTGATAATGAAAATACCAATATAATTATTGAACTTTAAAATCTGATTCTGATGTTCTTAGGGAAAAATAACAGCAGTAGCTTGGGAATCTTAAACAAAGAAACACAACAATGGAGGCTTAGCCTCACAAGCTAAAATGCACCATAAAGTTTTAATTATTAAAACAATAGTATTGATTTATGAATAGAATGACAATAAGCCTAGAAATAGATCTCAACTTTTTTTATATAAAATGAAAGTGAAATCTTAAAGAAGTGAATCAAAGATCTTTTAGAAAGTGGTTTAAATATAATGAGGTAGACGTCAGGGAAAAAAATATATATCCAGAGCCCATATAACACACCAGGGAAACCTAACATAGAAGAAAGATTTAAATGTAAAAAAAAAATTAAGCAATACAGTGCTAGAAAAACAAATTGACCAGTTTTAGTATGATCTTTAAAAGAGCAAGGTATTTCCAACTATGACTCAAAATCTAAAAGCAGGAAAGATTGATAAAATTTACTTCATAAAGTTAAAAATAATAACCAAAGTGAAAAGATTTCTGCACAATGAAATATCATGCAACTGATAAAAATGAATAGGGAGAAAAAAATGAATAGGGAGGAGCTCTATGTTCGTGTAGGAAAGGAACTGAAGAATATATTGTGACATGAAAAAATCAGGTACAGAACAGTGAATATAGTATGCTACTTCCTGTGAAGAAAGAAAGTAATATAGAGATATGCATTTACAATTATTTGTATTCACATAAAGGAACACTAGATATAAACAAGAAAGAAATTAAAATGGTAACTTAAAGGTAGCCCAAAGGGATAGGGTAGATAGAGGTAGATGAAGGCAGGGGTAGAAGCAAGCAAGTTTCTCCAGCATATTCTCTTTATATTGTTTTGCTTCCCAAAGCATGTAATTATACTACATATTCAACAAATAAAGTTTAATTTAAAAAATACAATAAGATTCAAAGCCAAAGACATAAACTGTGAAATCACTGGCAAATAAATGATAATTGAAGTCAAGGAAGAGAGGGGTAGGATGGAGTACTTTGTAGCAGGCCAATGGTCCTACAGAGGGCAACTAGAAAAGCTAGATTAAATGATAAAAATTATGTATTTAAAGGCAGAAAATGGCAGAGGACTAGAGGGATTAAAATTCCAGAGAGAGCAGAAGTTTTTAGAGGTGAGTTGGAGATTTAAAGCCGTCCCTGAGCTTCTTGCCAGGTCTTGATGAAGGATAGATGCTGACAATCTGGATGAGGTCCAGGTAGAGGGTCACTGCTGGGGGCAAGCTCACTGGAAGAGTTTTTGGTGATCACATGGGACTAAGAATGACAAAATTATTTTTTCTCTGGAGAAATTTGTTAAAATCTGAGATGTGCGAGGCTGAACTCTAAACAGAAAAGTACCACGACTTGTCTGTATCTCTCCATCAAGGTGCTCATTAATAAAAATAAATAAGGGTGCCTGGGTGGCTCAGTTGGTTGAGCATCTGCCTTTGGCTCAGGTCATGATCCCGGGGTCCTGGGATCGAGTCCTGCATTGGGCTCCGTGATCAGCGGGGAGTCTGCTTCTCCCTCTCCCACTGCCCCTCCCCCTGCTCTTGTGCTCTCTCTCTCCTTCTCTGTCAAATAAATAAATAAAATAAAAATAAATAAAATAAAATAAAATGGTAAAATATATCAGAAATTTTAAAACGTAAATGGATTAAAATCAGGTTTACAAGTTTAACCAAATAAATAAATAAATAAATAAAAGTTGAAAATAAAAGAAAACAAGAAAATAACTAAAAAGAAAAACTAGTTCTTCAGTTCTTTCCCTTCCATCCCACATTTAAAAAAAATTTTTATGTCTTCTCAACTTGTGATAGTCACAACAGATCCAAGCGGGAAGGTAAGATGAGAACTTTAAAGAAAAGTGTAACATAAAAGAGAGATAAAATGTCCAGTTCCCTGCTGCACCGGTGGATGTTGGAGGGTGGCAAGAAAAACAGCCAAAAAAAAAAAATGTGTTTTTACTAATAAGTATTCAATTATAATACTAAAACTCACTGCAAGGAAAATTCAGGGAAATGAAATGACAAAATTATAGGCCATCTGACTCAGTCTGAGGATTCAGAGAGGGTGTTCCTGAAGAACTGACTTTTAAGCTGAGCCCTAAAGGTTAGGGGCTGAGTATTTCACACAGTGGCAACATAGGCAAAGATTCTGAGTGGGGGAAGCAGCTTCATAAGATTGCTGTTATTGAATGTCATGAATAAGGGGGGGTGATAAAGGCAAAAATGCGGTGGGAGGTGGAGTGCAATGAGACTGATGTGATCAGGCTGACCCTTGTAAAGTTTTCTGCAATTCCAGATGTTATCATAAGGACAGGAGAAGCTGTTGAAAGATCCTAGTGGGGCAGTGAAATAATCAGAATTTCACAGTAAAAAAAAAAAAATCACTTTGGCTGTTCCATGGAGAGTGGACTGAAAGGATAAGAATATTGGGAGATAAATTAAGAAGTCATTTCATTTTTTTTTTAAGGAGTAAGATACAGCCTTGGAATAGGCCAGTGGTCTTAGAGATAAATTTTTTTTTAAATCAGAAAAAGAGATATGAAAAAGCTGTATTTAAAAAAAATGACAGTATTTGGTTATTGAATCTGGTCAATGAGGAAACAAGGATGCCTCTTTTCACATTTTGGTCTTGAACATTGCATGATGGTGGATGAGCGTTCCACTTCTTGTGAGAGAGAACATTAGGGGAAGAGCAGCTTTTGTGCAAAACAGGAACTTAAGTCTGGAACTGATGTCTTTTAAGAAAGATATGGAATGAAAATATAACTTTAAAAGTCATAAGAGATAGTGGAAGCTGCCTTTTTACATTTTGGAAGAGTACTAACAAATGTTCTGTTAATTCCATGAAATTCTTAAGTCATCCTATTATAGCTTTCCTTATTAGATGATGTACAAAAGATATTCACTTCCTTGTTAAAATATACTCATTTTTCATTAAATATTTTTAATACATATCTATTATTTATTTTGTTCGTTCATTTAAGTGATTATGGAAAATCCTAAGAATCATTACTCTTTTCATCTTGTTTTATATATCAGAAAGATGGTTATAATCAAACTGAAGACACATAAATACATCTTAATGATTATACTTATGAGTTATGGTCAGCTCTATATATGCTTCAGAAAAGCAATGATAAGCCGTGTAAGAAAACTACCTGTGCTCAATGAAGCAGAACACACAATTATAGTTAGGCTTATTATTCATATTTCCACATTATACCAAGACCTATACAGAAGTGCAGTTCTAAAATGTGACACTTTCTTTTTCCTCCCTTAGGAATCTGCTCATTATAGAAGTGTAAATTATTTTTTTATTTAAAAATGTCATTCTCTTTTGAAGATTGGTTAATTTGTTTTCATTTTCCTAGTAGTAAACATCTGAGGAAAGAATATATATTTTCACCCGGTTGATATGGGTAGAATTACCTCACTTTTTGTAAAATAGTCACAAAATATTGTACATATGCTACATTTTAGTAAAGTGAGTGGTTTTTTTTAAGGATTTTATTTATTTATTTGACAGAGACACAGCGAGAGAGGGAACCCAAGCAGGGGGAGTGGGAGAGGGAGAAGCAGGCTTCCCGCCGAGCAGGGAGCCCGATGCGGGGCTGGATCCTAGGACCCCGGGATCATTACCTGAGCCGAAGGCAGACGCTTAAGGACTGAACCACCCAGGCGCCCCTAAATTGAGTCAGTTTGGATAAAAATATTGGTCATACTAGTTTATTTTTCAAGTTCTAGAGCAAGGAAAGAAAGGGTAAGCATAGAGTTTATTTAAAATAAAATGTAGTTCTTAATTTTTTACTTCCTACTATGTTCAAAGGTTGACTTTTTTTTATTATATTTTCATTTTCCAAACTAGTATGTGGTGTTATGCATTTTTTTGAACAAATACCTCCTTTGACCAATAAGAAATACAGAGAGGTTCACTTTTTCTATTTGGGAAAGTTATTTTTTGTTTATTTTAGCTTTTGAATAGTGAGGGTAACAGTCAGAAGTCCAGTAGGAAGGAGAGGGCACCCTCCACTTAAGACAATTTGAGCAAGGTTGAAGAAAGTGGCTATTTAAAATGTGGGTGACGTATAAGAAATCACATGGTACAGTATAGTACCTCTGGTCTGTTGACCACGTGGCCAGAGGAAAACAAGGGTAGGAAGGAGAGAGAACTGTAGAGGCGACTGCTTTGCCTAGGGACCCAGTCAACCTGATACAACTCTGCAGGGAAAGAGCCTGGGCATGAACACCTTGACCTCACTTTCCTTCCTCACTCTGGAGCACCCAATTCGCAAACCCTAACTAGAAGACAGAAAACAAGAAAGCCTACTGATGTACATTTAGGTTAGCCTTCCAAGACAGACATAAAGGTAGAGAAGTGTAGGGAGTGGATCTCACAGGGGCAAAAAGGAGAAATCTAAAACAGTGGGTATGCACCTCAAAATGGAAAATGGTAAATGTGAAAGTCAGTGCTAAGTTTTTTCAGCAAAGGAAAAAGAGGCTGGGGCAGAAGGTTCGGTCCATAAATGCTTCCTCCTTGTGAAGAGCAAGAAGCTTTGGAATCATTTGGCAAGGGGCAGGATATGAAGAAATTGAAGGAGTGGTGCTTCTTTAATTCACCCAGAATGAACTCTGTCAACTGGCTAAAGATTCTTAGTTTGTTTAATTGATGCACAGGAAAAAAAAATAACCTTGAATCTAGCAAACATTCTCTATAGCTAATAATGATGTTTTGGTAATATCATTACTATTTGCTTGCAGGATTGTATCAGACAATCAACGTTCTTTGGCCCTGGGTTTGACATATGTGATTTTGAGAATATTCGGTATGGACTTTTGGCAATCTTTTATTACACTGAATTGTTCATTTTTTGATATGTGTGTTTACATGTATATTTGGAATTTCAAATAAATAATAATGGTTAACTGATACAAAACAAGTGACTGGGGGAACTGCTTTGCAGAATTTAAGACAATATTTATGTAAAAAGGCAATCCCTAATGCAAAGCTTATCCTGTCATATAAAATATGTATTAATATTATATTTGATTAGGAAAATCTATTTGATTAGAGGTATATTCATCAAGTTCATACAAGTGGTTTGGAAAGCTGAAACAAAACACATAACCACAGGATTGCTTGCATGTTTGGAAAGTCACTAACCTAAACTGGTGCTTTTAAACATTTTCATTACCGAAGACTCTGAATCTGATGTTTCAAGAATTTATGGCCAAAGAAAAAATTGGTCTTGCTGAGGGTAATGCACTGTGTACTTCAGACTTTCTTAAATAGCAAAAACTAGCTTTCAAATCTGCATTATGACTATTTTAGCACCTCTGGTTCAAAAGTTGATTAAAAATATTAATGGGGTAAGGAAACAAGATTGAACTGGATTGAAGACTGAAAGACATATGATAAATGAAGTCAAGAGTATAAAAAATTTAAGTGTGGTTTTGATGGGGATCAGAGAAATAATTCTATAACTAGATCAATGTGTGGGTTTAAAATTGCTTTTTTAATCAGGAAAAATAAGAGCATATTTTTATATGAATAATGACCCACTAGATAAAGACAAGTTTTTTTAAAAGATTTTATTTATTTATTTGAGAGAGAAAGCATGAGCCAGGGGAGAGGGAGAAAGGGAGAGGGAGAAGCAGGCTCCTTGCTGAACAGGGAGCCTGATGGGGGGGCTCCATGCAGGGCTAGATTCTAGGACCCTGGGATCCTGACCTGAGCCGAAGGCAGATGCTTAACCTTAACTGACTAAGCCACCCAGGTGCCGCAAGGACAGCTTTGTAATGGCAGAAGGAACATGAGAAACAGCAATATAGAAAGAGTTTCTGCATCAGAAAGAAAGCCAGGGAGACTAATACATTTTTGATGGAAGAGGGTGGAATATTATATTTTAGATACAGACTAGGTCTTATATCCAATAAGATTTTGCCAACAGAGAATTTGAAGCAGAAGATAGAGATTATCTGATTTACACTTAAAAGATAACTCTGCTTCTGAGGGAGAAATACTTATAGAAGATAAATGTGGAGAAAAAAAAGGCTTCTGCTGAAGTCTAAGTCAGAATTATATAAAATTGGAATTTGGAGGTTGTCAAAGAGACAGAGAAATCAACATATCCAAGGTGTTTCTGGAGTTAGAGTCACAGAGATTTAATATCGTGGATTGGAAAAATATGATGGAAAATAGAAAAATAATGAATAGTAGGCCCAAGTTTTTCACCTTAAGCAATTATAAACAGAGTGCTAACACTCAATGAGATTGGGAAAATTGGTGATGGATAGTGATCTTTGGCAGGAATCAAGAGTCACGAAGCATGAGGGCCCTGATAGAAGGAAGATGGTTAAGACATGTTAGTTCTGAGATCCTTTTTCTAAAGGCTTTGGGGTGGCTTTTTCTCCTAAGATTTTATTTTTAAGTCCTCTCCACATCTAACGTGGGGCTCGAACTCACAACCCCAAGATCAAGAGTCATATGCTCCACCAACAGCCAGCCAGGCTCCCCACTGGCTTTTCATTTAAGTGACTTTTACTTCAATTTTAGCTGAAATTGTTGCTGAGCAGGTGTTGTCTCTGAGTATATAGAGATTTACCTCAGGCAGCACACAATGGTTCCTCTGGATTTGAGGTTCTCTGAATTTAGGGGTTGCTACAAACATAACAAAGCATTTACATTTTCAGTTTTTTCTCCCAATATCTTGATAACATATGTACATTGCATTATGAAACTAACTTATCATTGATTGAAAATTTCACAATTTGAAATCTTTGGAGGTATGCTGAATTCCCAAAAATAATATTTAATATCTCTCTCTTAAATACTTTCTCCTAAATTTTTAATTGAAAAATTAAAAGTTGTGAGAGGTCTACTACATAACAATATGTACATCGTTCTAAAAATATGAAAGATACTAATTTTTTATACCTGCAGAAATAGGATTTTTTAAAAATACAGTCATTGTTTCCAGATATTAATAATCCTATTTGTAAGTAAATTCTTAGCTAATTTTAAGTGATATATGTAAATGTGATGATGACTAAATATATGTTTGATTTTAGAATAAAAACAATCTTATCCTTACCTGAAGTGTTTTCATGGAGAATTTACAATTATTGCATTTTTCATAGGGACGATACCTGGACCAATACTTTTTAAAATGTTAGGAGAAACTTTTTGTATCTTTCGGGAGACTGAATACTGTGGAAAAAAAGGAAATTGTTGGATCTATAATAAGATGAAAATGGCTTACCTTATGGTAGGAATATGTAAGTGATACCTATTGAAGAAATATAGAAAAGTATAATTGTTTTAAAAACATATAGTTATTTATAGTAGTGTACAGTAATAAACTGTGAACAAATGGATACTTTGGTGATTAAAGAAGCCTTATTATATAGAAAATATTTTAAGAGTCTCATGCTCTACCAACTGAGCTAGCCGGGCATCCCCTTAGAAAATATTTTAGAAACTAAAGTTTTATAGTATTTATATGAATATTTGAGTCACTCCACTAAAATACACAATTGTTTTATGTTACTCCTGGATAAAAGGTAGTAATTAGCAAAATTTCAATTTAGGAAGCAATTTTGTCCATATACATATACAACCAAGTTGCTTGACCTTGTGAGAATTTCCATTTCTATAGTAAAGGATTGGATAATTAAAAAATTTTTTTCACCTCTAAAGAACATAAAGATACTTTTATCCTACTTAAATGTAAGTTTCACCGTTTCTTTTGCTTAATGATATAACAATCCACATAGCAGGCATTCATTATTTGTTGAATAAATAAGAGATATGGGGAATTGGGATACTATGGTGATATGAGCTGTGGTCAATGTTGAGAAAGTCTAAATAGGCTTGCATTACTTTAGAAAATTCACTAGATCTTCCTGGGTCTCAATTTATTCATCTGTAAAATGAGGATGTTGGACTACATAATTTCTGAAATGTTAATCAGTACTAACATTTAGTGATTTTATTGCATAGATGATGTTGGTATGATAAATACTTAAAAGTGTTTATATGTTTTGTGATTTTAATGAGTGGGTTCATTAATTCAAAGAAACACATAATAATAGACTCTAATATTTAACAGTAACAAATACCTCTGTGGATAAAGTGTATAGTGGTGTCTTGTAATTCAAAAGTCAATTATCCAGCCAGCTTAGTGTCCATGGAACACTGAGTAAAGTAAAATTTTAGAAAACAATTAAAAAGTAAAAAAGTGACATTTAAATAGTCAGAATTAATTTCTCAGAGATAATTCAACAAAACTAGGCATTGTTCATAAGTAAGTCCTCTTAAGACACTGCTGAGCCTTTTAATTTTTATTTTGGATATAACTAGCACACTTACCTATTTTCAAACAGCACGTAATTGAGAAAACTGGTGAACTGCTAGAGATCCTGCCAAGGAGCTACTGAGAGGAGATAACAATAATAAAGAAATAGGGAATTACGTCTGAAAGGACAAACACAGAAACTACAACAGGAATATGCTTTTGTGGCAATTTAATATCAACTAGTCCATTTTCAAGTTTTGACCATCAAAAGAAATAATTAAAAGATACACAGCCACAGTGTAGAAGGTAAAATGTGAGAAAAGAACCAATGTCCAAAGTATATGAGGCACTCCCATTAATCAGTAATAAACAAGGATAGACATGGGAAAAGTAGACGAAGGACTTGAGAGAACTCGTCACAAAAGTGGATAATCAAAGAGTCAGTAAATAATGGCTTGGATAGATTGTGATAAAATCAACAATGCAATAGTATACAACAATGAAAATGAAATCTACACAACAGCATAAATAATGGATGAATCATACAAACATAAGGTTGAACGAAAGAAACCAGAAACAAATGATTACGCAGTGTATGATTCCACTGACATGGTTTTGACCTGTTATAGATATACTTCAGAAGCGAACAAAACAAACCCTTTTGGGTTAGTGACTTTGACAAAACATGAAGGAAGGCTTCTGGGGTGTTGACAATGTTTTGTTCTTGACCCAGATGCTGGTCACACTGTGTTTAGTTGGTGAAAAATGTACCAAGTAGTACTCTTAAAAATATTGAGATGTAATTAAGATACAATTAGCATAGATCTTAGGTGTTTAGTTTGATGGCCTTTGATAATTGAGTGCACCTATGTAACCAGCACCTCATTCAAGTTGTAGAAATTTCCCCCATATCCCTTTTCAGTCAATTTCCTTCCTCTACAGATAAACCTCTTTCAGATTTCTATTACAATATGTTGGTTCTGCATGTTCTAGCAATTTATGCAAATGTAATGCAGTATATAGTTGTTTTTTTTTTTTTCTGTGTTGCTATATATGCTTTGGGGAGATTCATTTGTGTTATTCCATAGCAGTAGTTTGTGCTTTTAAAAAAATCTCTGAATACTGCGTCATTTTGTGAATATACTATACAGTTTATCCATTTTTCTTGTTAAAATTCATTTGGGTTGTTTACGGTGTTGGGCTATTAAAAATGTATGAAAATTATTGTGTCATTATAAATGACAGACTAATTAATGTTTCTTACTTTATCTTTTGTAACCACTATAACTGATATTGTTAGATAATTGATGTTGTTGCTCTAAAATATTTTTTACTTTAATTTTCAGGGTCATTTGCATCCTAAGCTCAAGTACTTTTATATAATGCTTGTAATATATTTTCTGAAACATGCAACATGAAAATGAATAAAAACCCAATAATCAACTAATTTTTCTAAAATATTTGTTTTTATTTGGAAAATGGTGAATATTTCAAAAAGAATGAAGCTTCATGAAGTGAATTTATGTTCCAGTTCTTATTGATATTTAAATTTTGAAAGCAGAAATGTATTTTTAAGCTTTAGAGTTAATACATTCTGTGAAATAATAACACATCTTGCATTTTTCTTGGGCTGTATCTTTAAGAAATCTAAAAGTTTTTGTAAACATTAAAAAAACTCCTTTAAATAACTTGATATAAGTTTATGATATTAATTACATTTTACAACTGGAGAATTGATATTTTATAGAGATGAAATATACTTAGTTTTTCTTTGGTAATTGGCTTTCTTTCCACGAATATTTTTGCTCTAAATAGATGGATACATCTGATGCTTGTATTTTTTCTCTTAAATTTAGGTTCTGTTTGCAAAGTATTCACTATCTTCTTCACTGCTATTGCATTTTGCCTATATAAATATTTATCAAAGGAGGACAGTGACATCCTGCATATACCTATAAAGAATCTAAAAGTAAAAAAAAAGAGAAAGAACTGATTTATAACTGGATCATCAATGTGGAAGAATTATACACTGTCAGTCCATCAATGGAATGCTATATTAATAAAATTTGAAATAATTACAATATAGTTACACGTTTAATAAATGAATGTGATTCATGTGACCCCATAAGTTTTATTATAAGTTGAGTACAAATATAATAATAGAGTCTCGGTGTCTTAGATTTTTAAAAGATATCATAAAATACACATTTAATACTTTCAATAGAGAATACTTTGAAAGAAGAAGATGAAGCAGAAGTGGGAAAACACATGTAAGTTAATTCTGACTACAGTGATATCATATGTGTTGGTTATTAGCCTTTGGATACGTAGGACTACTTAGGTTTCATATAGTTTATTCTTATTACTTTTCATTTGGGCTGTGGATATTTGTTTCTCAATAATTTTTCAAAATAACATTGGATTTGTCAATCCAGTTCATATAATAAAAATTTAAATTAATGTCATATTTATTCTCCAAAAGAAGCTAGTTTTAAACCTTTTAAAAATTATCATTTTATTTATTTTTTATTTCACCATGGAGAGGTTTCTTTAGAAACTTTCTCTGGTCAATTGGCCAATTTGCAATATACATTTTTATGCTTCTTTAATTTTATTAGACACAAAATTCAATATGATCATATATTTTTACTTTGACCTTAGTTTTATTGACAAAGACTATCTGATACCTGATTTCCAGTTTTGTGCTTTTATATTTCATTGTATGATAATTATAATTATTCCATGTGAAAATATATTCAAATTTCAATGTAGAAAATGTGTCAACCATTTGTGGAATTTTTCTTAAGCTTAAATATGTTTCTCTAGAGAGTTTTTTAATTATTTCATACATCATTGTACATCCATCCAAATTATATAGCAGTTTTCTAAATATTGGAATAAAAATCAGATTGTTATAAAACAAAAACTTCTCTACATTGTTTCCATTGTTCTCTTGGGAGAAGAAACAACTGACAGTATTTCTCCTTTATTATAAGCATTAGTCAATGACCCTGCATGTAAGGGTAGTCATTGTCCTATTCTTTTTTTTTCCTTTCTCCAAATTTTTATTTAAATTCCAGGTAGTTAACATACAGTGTAATATTAGTTTGTAGTGATTTCTTACTTACATACAACACCCAATGCTCATCACAAGTGCCCTACTTAATTCCCATCACCTATTTAACCCATTTCCCCTGCACACCTCCCCTCCAGCAACCCTCAGTTTGTTGTTTATAGTTAAGATTGTTTCTTGGTTTGTCTCTCTTCCCCCAACCCCCATGCTCATTTGTTTTGTTTCTTGAATTCCACATATGAGTGAAATCATTTGGTATTTGTCCTTCTCTGAGTTATTTTGCTTAGCATAATACTTTCCAGTTCCATCCACATCACTACAAATGGCCTATTCATGGTATTGGCTGGCAGAAGGAAATGTGAAGCATAAGTATTCATATTTTACTATATATCTTTCTTCCTTAACTTCAACATGCTTTTATGAAAACCTATAAACTAGTCTTTATGTGAAAGACTTGAAAGACTTGACTGCTTGACTCTTCTCTTCGGACCAGTAGGATTGCAGAATATCTGTGGATCAGAATGTGAAAACAGGAGTTTCTCCTTTAAAGATTCTATGAGATCTGTTGCTGTGCCCTACATTCAGAAAAGAAAAATCACACATGATGTTTACCTAAGTAGTAGAAATGTATCTATGGTGATCTGTATTTTCATAATAGAATACCTTCTTATGAAACATTTTTCATGTTTTTAAAGTGTATAGGATTTTAAACATCAGTGTATAAAGGTTTCTCTAGGAAAATTAAGGTTTAATACTTTTAGGTTATTCATATCCTCTCTTAATATTCTTCTGTCTAAAGATATTATCTGAAAATTTATACAACCAGGAAATAAGGTAAAACAATAACACTCAGATCCATTTTGAAGGTGCTTGTTGCATGTGTATGTGTATATGTATATATTATCTAT